AGCTAGTGGACATTGTGGTAATGAGTGGTACTTAAATAGAAAAAGCACTTATGCGACTTTTTCGAACATGTGGGTGCGCAATACTTAGATGGGCAGTTCGAACCAAATACATGTTTCAACATCTCAAAACGTATCTGAACTTAAGAGATTTGGGAATTGGTAATCACTTGATTATTGATAAGATTCTTTTTTGCTGTCATGAAAAACTCAAAAAGATGTTCACTTTGGTGACTTTCGAAGGAGTGGTACTGCGTAGCGGACACTTCGAATCAAATACTCAAATATCAGCCTGTCTGGACTAATTTAAATTTTTGTTGTCTTTTAGAATTCGTAATCAGCGTGGTTTTTGAAATAACGATTTTTTTGCTCGCACAAAAAGCTCTTGAAAATACGATAGCAAATTACCCGTCGTTACTTTTCGAAAACGAAAATTCGTGATTGACAACTAACTGAAATTGACATTTTACAGTAATAAAATTACAGTTCACTGTTATTCTGTAATTTTGCACCACTGTTATTCTGCAATTTTGCACAATTAGATAATGTTTTTAAGAGTTTCGGGCGGTGAATTATTCGACCATGTGTCAGCCAAAGAGTGCCTTGACGAAGCCGAAGCATCTGCTTTTATCCAACAAATCTTGCTCGGCGTCAAACATCTGCATGATAATCATGTCGTACATCTGGATATCAAGGTTCATCTTTTTTCTAAAATGTTCAGATTCTTCGTAAAATCGTCTTACAAATTCCTTATGTGATGATGCTGTGTGCCCGGAGCGCGCATGGGATTTGTTTTTTGGGTTTTTGACAGATTTCGTTATTTTTTTCTCCATCGAGGAATTTTTTGTTGCAGCCAGAAAATGTGATGCTCAGGAAGAGAGGCGAGTCGAAAATTAAACTTATCGATTTCGGTCTTTCAAGAAGAATTCTCCCGGGTACTGTTGTTAAAGATATGATAGGCACACCTGAATTTGTTGGTAAGTTTTCCCCAGTTATTTGCATTAGAACGTAGAGGCCAAAGCAAAGGTGTATTCAGCCTCGGGAGGAGAGCAAGCGTTCTGATTTTAGCATGTAGTGCCTTTGTACAAAATTAATTTTGATATTTTTTTTGCGTATCAATACAAAGCGATCGTTACTGGATGGGATTTGCTGCTGTTTGCAATCTGTTGTTTCAGAAACAGTAGTATTTTTATTTGGACTCTGCTTTATATTATTTTAGCTAGAGTTTATGACTATTCCCTCTACGATTCGTTCATTCGTTTCGATGGTAAATTGATACTGACATATGCTAGGGAAGACAAACTGGCCATCATCTTGCTTGTAAAAGGGAGGCATCGACTTCTTTGCCAACAGATGATTGCTGTTGACATTTGCTACCACTCATGCTATTTTTCGAGTGCTTCCAACTCTCACAGAAAGCGAACACGGCGGAAGACGAGGAAGGGGGAGGGGGTTGCTTTTTGATGACTAATAGGCATAAATTTCATTTGACATGAAAGTGTATGGACGCTTCAGCGCCCGTAATGCTACGTATTCGTTCATCAGTGTTCCTAATTTGTAATCTGTTTTTCAGCTCCTGAAGTTGTTAATTATGAGCCTTTATCACCAGCTACTGATATGTGGGCTTTGGGCGTTGTCACCTACATACTGTAAGCTTTTTTCCTCCTCTATTCTCAGAAACTGTACGAACCATTCGCTGTCTTACTGATTAAATTTTGTGCGTCTTAAAATCAAATTAACTACATCTCAAACATCAAATTTTGTACTGAATGGACTGTTACTTCCGTATTTTTGATTTCCTTGCCACTGCGCTAACACTGATTTTGTAGATAAATCAGACCGGAATTCAGATAAAAATCAACACTTTTCTTAAGAAAGGTCTTGTGCGTTCCTCGTTTTGGCAAAAATTTTGCAATATTTTCTTTACTTCACTTTTATTCACTTATATTTTCGACTTACATACTGTGCAGCATCGTGAAAGAGTAGCTGGCAATTTCTTTTGTTGCATATTTTCATCGAATTTCGACAAATTTTCAAATGAACCGCGCATAATGATTTCTAAAATTCGGTACTCTTTTTGCTTAGGCTCTGATCATTTCCGGTCATACCGATTATGGCTACTGGC